TATCGAGGAAAGAAATACTATCTTTTAGTTTGAAAGCACTTTTGATCACGCGACTGATACCAAATAGAGAATCACGATAACACGGATTCATAGGGAGATTGTTTCATGTTAGGTTGAAACTTTAAAGGTATGAACCTATAACCTACACATTTTATCGAACCAAGGAACCAAATATCCCTTTACAATCGTGACAATAACAGTATTACTTTGTTAGACACATTAGTTTTCGGAAACTATGACATTTAAATATAGTTTGGAATGCAAACATCAGCCATTGAAAACACGGGAGAACTTGACAGTATTGGACGTATCAGCAGTTTGCATTCGTTAATCAGTCAGGCATCGGACCCATAATCTTCAGGCTTAGAAGTTATCACCTTACTTACAAACAATTTACTTGGGATCCAGTAACCCAAAATATTAACCTCAGTCAATGCGTGATATAGTGAGACCACTATCCATTGGTATATTAGATCAGTCTCACTTCTAACACTGCTAAACTTCATCAATCAATAATACTTGCCCAGGAACGTATGGGCTTCCATTGATTTACCTACATTATTTTTTCTATTCTTCTATATCTAAACCAGTTACACAGTTGAAATTCCAGAAATGATATAAATCTAAATAACTAAATGGTAAAATTAATAACACACTTTGTTTTCCTTCTAATGTAGGAGTTTAGTTTCGCATACGTGCTATAAAATCTAATAGATCATAATGGTTTTATTTACAAAAAACAAAAACAAAATGACTTCAGGGCATTTTAACTATAAAACATTAGATAGTTAGTTACTGGGGGAAATTCCCTAACTTAATTAGATGAAAGACGATACCATGTGTAGATAAAAATACTAACAATATTTATCAATCCATAGTATTCAGTGCATTTTCTTTCTAAAATACCTTAATCTTGAAATAACGATGATTTCTTATATACGAATTATTAAAACTGCATTTTTTGTTTGAAAATAACCTAATGGTGCTTACTGACAAGTTAGGCTAAGTAACAGTCACAGAAGAGAACGTATTGATTAAGTTATTTCAGTAAACTGACGAAAACTCAACAAAGAAATTAAGTAATCCTGTGAACTGAATAAACGCTCTGGCATTGAATCAGGTTATCTGATCATGTGATACAAAAGTTATTTGTTTTTTAATCTAGACCGTAGCTAATACTATAATATGGCAGTATGTATATATATGGGATGGGGATCTATCTTTACTTGATATTCTGTCACATCAGACAGTTCTGACGGATAGAGGCAAGACTGAAATCAAAAGATCTTAGGTTCGGAGGCCTACTTTAAATTACAAACCAGAAAAAGAACTGGAGTCAAATAATGGCAACTCAGTGGGCAGTGATTTCTGACATAAATGATTGAGGTATTAAATAATTAATTGAGAATATCAATAAAGGTAAAGGTTACATTTCACTTCCCCAACAAATATACAGCGATTTAATTTCACAAATTCCACAGAATTCAATTTAAACTCCAATGTCATTACTTGTTAAATGTCTATAGAGAAGAAAACTCATTTGTATCAAGCAGTCTTAGAGATTAAATAAAAGGTTGGAAAACATGTTAGTATTCTGAGTAGAAACAAAAATAAATATACTGTACAGAAAATACGTATTTCCATAACGGAAATTTAAAAGATAAATGAATGGAATTTAGAATCTGACAAAGCAGTTATCAGTTAGGTTAAGATTTCAGGGCAGATTTAAAAGGGACTAAGTTTTTTTATGACCAATCTTGTGAAATATGCCACTTATAAAGCAACTTTTCTGCTAGTAACCATCTGTAAGATGCTGAAGCAGACATATATTGACAAGCTGAAATGCAGAAAAGTTCTCTTACTTACTTACTTACATACGCCTGTTACCCCTCGTCGAGGAGCATAGGCCGCTCACCAGCAGTTTGAATTATTTTTTCTGGTTAGCGTTTTTTTAGCGAGTTAGCTTTTCTACGGGATGGGTTCGCTAACCCCATGCCCAACCCTCCCCCTTTACCTGGGCTTGAGACCGGCAGTAACTCTAGAAGAGCTACAGGCGGAGTTAGAAAAGTTCTTTACTTTAAGCGATAAAATATGATCTGGTTAAATCGAACCTGTTTTAAACAAAGTGTATTTAACGGTATATTATACAACAGATAGATTATATAGGAAAAATGATTGAATTTAGTGTTTATAGATTATCAATGACCACTCAACAAAAGCTGTGATCAGAGTAGTCCGTGTTTAAAAAATATATTCAGCAAATAGGCTACGATGAATACAAAGTACGATAAACATCTATCATCTAATAGTTGGTATCATTATCATGTACAGCAGTCTGTTTTTACTGTTCATTATTGGAAGATTTATTGCTATAAGTAGATACAGAACATTTTGGGTTTATTAAACAGAGTTGATTAAATTATTTACTTACTCCTGTTACCCCTCATGGAGGAACATAGGCCACCCACCGGTATTCTCCTTCTAACTCCGTCCCAGGCAAACCTTTCCAGTTGCTGTTCATTCGTTCGATATCTACTTTCAACTCCCGAGACAGTGTGTTCTATGATCTTCCTCTTTTCTGTTCCCCTTCAGGACTCCGAGTTCGTGCTTATTTCGTGATGCAGTTTGATGATTTCCCTGATGTATGTTCTATCCGCTTCCGACGTATCCGGCCGACGGACATCGAGTAGACAATTGTTTATAATTATGTTCACTTTTGTGATGTTGGCTGTGATAGTTCTCCAAGTTTCAGCTCCGTATAGCTGCTTTCTTACTCCTGTTTTGTCTGATGGCCATCCTGATTTTTTCGATTGTCGATGAAGTGACATCTATGGGAATGTCTGTATGCGCTACTTTTATGTTCGGTGGATTCAATGGGGCTGGTCTATTCAAAAGTTCCTTAAAGTGTTCTACCCAACTGTTCCTCTGTTCGTGAATTTCAGTGATTGGCTTGCCTTTTTTGTTCTTGACTGTTATCTCTAGTCTACTATATATCTCGACCAGTGCTTTTGCAGTGTCATATAGATGCCTGATATTTCCTTCTCCTGCAGCATTTTCCGCTGTCGTTTCCATGTCTTCCATGTATTTTAACTTGCCATTTCTATTTCTCTCGTTCAATCGCGTGTGTTTGCTTATGGGTATTCAGCTTGTGCATTGACTTTGTTAATTGCTGTCTTCTTGTCATTCTTTTCTTGAAACTTGGCTAGAGTTTCTATGGAGATCCATTCCTTATGATGATGCTTCTTACGACCCAGAACCTCCTGACACGTTGAAGTTATTGCTTCTTTGATCTCTTTCCAACTGTCCTCCATAGTAGTTCCTTTTTCTTTCAGTAGACAGTGTAAAGCTTGAAACCTGTTGTTGATAGTTATTTTGAATTCAGTGAGTTTGTCAGTATCTCGAAGGAAGACTATAATGAAATTTTGTAATGCTGTTTCTCTAGTTGCCCATTGCTTCTTTAGCTTCAGTTCCTTCTTGGCGACCACCAATCGGTGATCTGAAGCTATGTCAGCTCCTCCTCTTGTTCCCATGTCTTCCATGGACCTCCTGAATTATTTAGTGATGTGAATATGATCGATCTGATTCTCTGTTGTATGGTCCAATGAGACCTATGTAGCTTTGTGTGGAAATATTGTGCCGCCTATAACCAATTTGTTGAATGCACATAGATTTGCAAATCTCTCCCCATTTTTATTTCTTTCTCCTAGTCCATGTTGTCCAATTATATCTTCATATCCAGTGTTGTCCATTCCGACTTTGGAGTCCGACTTTGGTCTCCTGTTAAGATGATCAGGTTCTTTCCAGAACACTTTCTCTCTCTCTTTCTATATATATATATATATATATATATATATATATATATATATATATATATATATATATATATATAGCATTACTACATCCTCCTGTTATTTAATCTCATCATAATAAATTATCATTGTCTTTAAATTTTCAGTTCGTTTGAAGCACCCAGATGAACGCAGGATATAGATAACAAGGGTTCTCGCTTACAAAACACATAAATGTAACAAGTCATAGGATTGATCTTAAAACAGTTTTTAATGTTTTGTATATAAAGTCTAAAATGTGTATTTTTAAGTTAATAGAAGCCTTGGGTATTAGAAAATATAAGCCTTATCTACCTATACAAATACAATTTGTTTTATACTTGAAGTTGACCTGAGAATCTTCATTCCATCTTAAGGCATAGTGTTCTGTTACAATTTTTCGGCATATTATTTTCTCCTCATTCATTTCCAATTATCACTTTATTAGTATTAAACTTTTATTTCTTTACCCTTTTTGTGATTTTCATACATAAATGCTTTGATAATTATATGTATGACTAGATTGTCCGAGATATATGGCACGACTACATTACACTTTTCAGATCAAATCCATCATCTTAATTATACTACCCAAATCTATAGAATGAACTGATCGTTTTAAATAGTAAATTGAGTTTTAATGAAAATTTTTTCTTTCATATTCAGGAATAATATTCATTTCCAAACGAATGATCTTAGTTTTTTTGTTGTGATCTATAAACAAATTAGAAGCATAGACATATTTATAAGCAACATCTTCATAGTTATTATTCTACATTTCATTTTTGAACCTTTTTTTCTTACTCCCTATATGTTTTAAATTACTTTCTTAATTTGAAATAGAGTAAAGTAAAGCGCAAAATTTTTCTTACTATTAGATGAAAATTATGTCTCTCTTTCTAAAAAATCTAATAAACTTCACACTTTAAAAGTCTGATAAACTTTATTTGGATTGGATAAAAGTCAAATTCACATGTCGCAAACTATGTGGTCAAGTCTACTTAATATGTTTGTACACTTGTGGTATATTAGAAATTAAAGTTAAACCTATAATTGTATGTATGTTGCATTTCTAAGAACCAATCATTTAGTTTAATCAAACTTAAGTAAGTTATGAAGAAAAATTGATATGTATATATTCATGGACTAGTTTTACATACCTATCTATGTAAATGAACATACGCAGGTTAATAAAATCAACTTCGAATAGTTTTGGACACAATTCATCCCTTATATATGTATATATATAAATATTTTACCATTCCCTCCCTCCCTAAGTTTCTGACACGTTTCACCACCACTGCTTCATAGAATAATTCAACATTGAACTAGTTAGTAATTGCTGGGATTTTTATGGTGATTTTCGTTAAGCGTAACAACTATTCACTTTACTACTTGATATTTTCATTAAAATTAATCTTATTTTTATTTGAAAGGTTAGTTCAATATTTACTTAGAAAATACTTTTCTTGCATGTAAATTGAGTTCTATTTTTATTTTGATAATAGTTATTATATATTTGATTCATGAACCCGTTACTTTGGGATATGAATAAGATAACCATTGTGGAAAGTGAATCTCTCCAAACTTCACCTGTTTATTTGAAAAAAACCCAGGTTTACTTGGATGCTTTACTCATTTTCTTTATCAGATAATACTACTAGTTATGAATCGAGTCAGCTTTGAAATATAACCACAGTTGAATTCACGAGTCGACCTAAGTTAGACCACCATTGAAAACCTAGAAGCACTGGAAGACTGTTCTGTCCTAGTATGAGACTCCTCAACAGTGTACATCCACAATCTCGCACGTGGAATCTACAGTTATATTTTTAACTTTTAGGTTATTCATTTTAGTAAGCACAGACACAAAATCTGTTGAATTTGTGGTTCATATATTAATATAGAGAAAGTGGTTATAATGTTAAACTGTAACAATTAAAATATTAGTTAAGCAAGAATTGTTTTAATAGTTTTGTCACTTTTTCTGAGCTTTGAAATCGATCACCATAACGTTTAATATAGATCTCTATAACCCCACTAGTATAACTTGCTAATTTTTATCAGAGGTACTTTTTTAAATAAAAGTGTAAAGTTTCACTAAGGAAGATTCATTCATAAATAGTAATATAACTACACTAAAATGAAAGAAAATAGATCAATACTTTACGTCATTGCTTTTAAACACTACTAAAAAGATTATAACTCTTATATATAACAGTTTTTACCAATCGAGCATTTGAATAACGAATAAATCTCATATACTCACAAGTGACTGGCTCCATGAGGTTATTTCCTGGAGTTCTAATGAGAAGCAGTAACCAGTGGAGTTCAACCAGGTCTGTTGGAAGATAGCAACTCACTGAAGACAATGGTGGACGTTGGCTCAATTTCGTGGATTGGTTGAAGTTAGACATTAACATCGTTTGATGACGGCTAAGTAGTCTAGAGGTTAAGCTCTCTCGTGTGCGTTCAAATCTTCTGAGGCTGGGTCGTGGATGCGCACTGCTGAGAAGTCCCACAATAGGACGAAACGGCCATCCAGTGCTTCCAGGTTTTCCATGTTGGTCTAGCTTCAATTGACTCATGATTCCATCTATATAAAATCTTTAAAAACAAATAATCTTTTGAAAAAATAAGACATTTTGTTCAATTTTCTATGAAATCAAACGAGACGTATTTGAATTCATACATCTAACTATCTTCTAAACTTATCGACAATGTAATCATTAATAAATCATTACGAGTAATTTTGTGTTCTTTCATTTTTAATCATTTCCATTAATGACATTTAATACGAATTTGTTCACAATAAACTAATTTCAAATGGGATAGATGATTAGGTAATGGTTTTGTCAAAATTTTTAATATTTACTTACTTCACCGTCTCTTAAAACACAACCTAATTAACGATTTCATTGAGTTTTTTCTATTGCTTAATTGGCATGGTAATTCTTAGACTAATATTTCTGCTTATTGAGTAAAAGACTTCATATCTAAGCTGTGTACTGGAATCCAACATGTGTACATTTCAGTTTGTAATGAAAATTTGAACTTCTTGACATTTCATAAATAGTTATTGTTTAACATGATTGTGTGTGACAAATACTAACAATTTATTGTTTAATTATTTGTTTCTGGTTTGTGATAGGCATATTCAGAATTTTCAGTGACAAAGAGAATTTGAGTAGAAAGAAGTATCTGATTCTAGTAAACTAAGAATGGATTTAAAGCACTTCATTGTTTAAATTTACTGCAGGAAAATGTGAAAGATATTTCTTATTTACATTCCTTTGTGTTAGTTTTTGGCTACTATTGCCATTACTATTCGTGGTTTTAGTGTTACCGAAGCTGATAATTGTTAATAGACTAACACTACTGTCATTATGATTATTTTTAACAGCACTATTTAGAGGTAGCTATAGTCATGAAATGACTTCGTCAAGAAAATCTTTTAAAACGAGAGAGTACTGAGAAGTTTTGCTGCCCTCTATCCTTGGAATTAAGCAGTATGAATCTACAGCCTACATACGTGATAACCTATAAATTTCATATTTAGATTCAAGTGTCATATTTTTAGTTCACTTAGAATTTGACTGTTTAACCGAGTAATTATTCCACTTTTAACATGTTCGACTCCAGTGCAATATGCTAGCAATTTATTCCTTGTTGACTTAAATATAACATTATTTAGTATATCTAAAATACAAAAGTTGAAAATTTCATATGAAGTCGGGATATAGGTCACTGAAAATTTAAGTAAGAGTTCTGACATTGGGATTCTATTTAAGTATAAAAGTTGGAGCCACTAATCAAAACCTTCGTAATTGTTATTTTCAACTTGTTGATAATATTTACATACCATAGAGTGATCGTTTGTATACAGTTGAGTAATATAAGACAAGTATTATTGACAAAGGAACTTTTTTATATTTTACGAGTATTGATAGTTTATTCAATTTCATTTCAAATGTATGATGTAATTTTATTTATGAAATCCAATTACTTGACTGATCACTTATCACTATTATTACAAATGAGAGTTACATGTCCAATAGTGAAATTATTAAATTTTTATCAGAATGGGGATTTGTGGAGATTGTAGTGATTTTGATAATCGAATTCAAGATTTTATCTACCTCAGACAATGGATGAATGGTTGCGAAAGATCATGGATCGGTTGATGTTAGACATTAACGCTGTTGGATGTCGGACCAGTGATTTAGAGGTCAGGCATTCACACATGAGAATGAAGGTCTTAGGTTTTGTGTCCCATGTGTGGGATCGTGGATGTTCACTGTTGAGGAGTCCTATAATAGAACAGAACGGTCATCCAGTGTTTCCAGGTTTTCAATGGTCGTCTAGATTGAGTCAAATTATGAATTCAATCATCAAACTTTTCTTAAAATACATTATACTGTAATAGTCCCAGTCATTAAACTGTTTGGCCTTTGCCATTCGAATATATAACAAAATATTTTTTATATCAATAATAACTATTTCAATAACTAAGGTACGTATTTATAAAACAGCTGAATTCCCATCAACTTAAAATTGTCATGAATGATACACTATTTTTTTAAAAATAGTTAAAACAAACTTCTAATATCATTTGAAGTATGATAATAAATGATTTCATATTTCCAATTGAGCTAAAAACATTGAAGGAAATGTACGTCAAATGTATCCACTAATCAAATTGTGAGTTCCATATGTTCATATTTTAATTTGTTCATATTGACTCAATTACGCTTTGTTGGATTACAGAAAAAGTTTTGAAATATTTATGTTAAGTGGGGTGGTTTTGATACACTTAACACTGTTTTAGTCATTTGAAGGATAGCTGATGTAAATACATTTTACCAGAAGGGTTTTTGTGCAGATTTCAGGAATTTTATAGTTGAATTCATGTGTCAATTGAACCTAGACCACCATGGAGAACCTGGAAGCACTGGACGGATGGCAGCTCAGTGGTCTATCGGTTAAGCTCCCGCGCGTGAGACTGTTAGGTCCTGGGTTCGAATTCTACTGGTGGGACCGTGGATACGCACTGCTGAGGAGTCCCACAATTGGATGAAACGGCCCTCCAGTGCTTCCAGGTTTTCCATGGTGATCTAGCTTCAATTGACTCATGGTTTTAACTATATTCAATATGTTCGTATAGGTAAGCATATATAGTAATAAATTTTTTACATAAAGGTAACAATCGATTGAGTAAAACTACATCGAAATTAGCTTAATAAGAAGTGATTAGATTGTCTTATTTTCATTACAGACATTTTTGACAATAGGCTTTACCCTGTGCTAATTTTCACATTTTAATGTTAAAATATTTATTCGTCTTTATAAAATATTAGTTTCGTATAATCCCTGTAGACTAACAAAGTTACATTTTATCAAGATAATCGGATTTTAAGAATTACTGACACCATGACTCTGTATTTCTTTCTGAGATAAATCTTAGGAGTTATATAGTGGATTTTTAGATGTACCCAATTTGACGATCATTTCTGGTATAAACTTATATCGAGATGATAATCATTTTAAACCAATCACCAAATATCAAACTTTATTTGTTTTATGTTAGGACTACTCATTAAAGTATACTCTTGACTTTACATAAAATCAGGCATAGAACCAACAGGTCAACACAAATAGAAGCTTCCAGAAAATCATCTAAATATATCAACTGGCAGTAAGAAATTTTCAATCTAACAATTTGTATAAGTTTCTCTGTATTTGAGTAACGCACAAAATCGTCGACTATATATCACAAAAAGAATACAGGTAAATTTATCTGAACCGGGGGAAAAGATTTGTAGCTCAGGTGGATGATTTCGGTGTAGGTTTGTTCTCTGAGCTGGATGGTTTGGTCGTAGGGCTTTCAAACACTTCACTTCTACTCGAAGTTTGTGCTGATTATGTCGTTCAGAAGGACGATGAAAGCTCCACGACCAAACCATCTAGCTCAGAGAACAGACCTACACCAAAAATTATCTGAACTTTCTGGAGATGTCAGAATCAAACTATAATTTTTCTTGTTATTTATCATTAATTCACTAATACTAAAAGGTCATAGTTAGATAATAATATGATTTTTGTGGAGTAGTTCAATAGATTAATGCCTATACATTACAAACTATGTCACAGCGTATTTATGTAGTTTTCATTAAAAGTCTTAATATCTTCAAAGAACAATTTCATATTTTTATAAAATGCCTTACCAGACTTATTTTCAATACTATGTATTGACTATAAAATTTAGTTGATGAAAACTTTAAAAAGTACACCACGAATAATGATTAAAATTGTGTACAGTATATAACTGTTTAACAAAAGGAATACACCCCCAATGTTTAAAGCAAATAGTCAATTTGATAAATTTCGATAATGTAATAAGAAGATGAAGATTATCAGAACTATGTGATATATTAGCGCAATACATTTCGAACAATATGATCACATATATACCCTAATATGTTAACTAACATGTAAGATTACAAATTGTTTTTCAGATATTTTTCTTATATTTGTATAAAAACCTGATGAGACTTGTCATTTTTTCTTATTATGACAGATTACTTTGATATTATTTTGTTATGGTGACATTTAGGTAATATATTATACTGATGATAAGTTTCATTTGCTTGTATTTACATTTCAACAAAATTCTAAAACGAACCATTTAGTCCTATTCATATACATATAAAGTAGTAGTAGTCAGTTTCAGCCAAAATACTATTAATAATCAAAAAATTGTCTGGTACAGACTTATATAGTGAACGAATGAAACATCGAGTGAAAGAAATGAAATAATGATTAATTATTAACAAACTACTTGATCACCTTAAACTATGTATACATGTTTTACTAAATCTATTTTCAAATTAAGATTGAGTAGGGGGCGCGAAAGTGCATTATTTAAAAACGGTAATTTGGTGACAAAATGTAATTATGTCTGATATTCATCAAATTGGTGATGAAATTTCTTTGTAAATTATCTACCCCTTCTCAAGGTCATGTTAAAAGGTACATTGGAACAAATAATTTTGAACAGATTATACACCTTGTATTATTATATGGATAATCTAATGATTTCACAGACTAATTTAGATTCTTGTAAATGTCATATGTTCTGATGAAGTAAATGTTTATAAATTCTTTCTTAAAAATTGATGAGTTTTACAAAATGAATAACATATAAATATGGTTGTTTATTATTTTAGGGGTGTAATACATAATATTACTAGAAGTCTAGCTATGAGAATACGGTATACATCAAATCCTACCCCATCATATAAATGAAATGATAGTGGACAATATCGCATGAGAAAATCGAAATTGTAATAATTAATATTTCTGATCGTGAAACTAGGTTAAGATTCTACTACTTATTAATTGTTTCATTTTGCCGGTCCGAATGGTAGTTGTCTGATACCAACTTTTCATCCTAAATATCAACAAATACTAAAGTGTGTTGTGAAAATGAAACTCGGAAAATATTTACTAAGACTCAATAGTTTAAACATTTAACTATGAGATAGAGTATGTACTGTATTTTAATCATTTAAAAGATGGAGATTCCTCATTTCTCAGATAGGTGTATTAACAAATGAAGAAACTCAAAATCTCAACACGTTTCAAATTAAGACAGAAACTTTATAGCTCGTAGAGTGAACATAAATGTTCCTGATTTTATAAACTTAGACAAAAACCATCTCAACCCTTTTGTGATCTGACAGATTTTTAACACTATGTGTTTATTCATCTGAAAAACTATTTACTGTGGGCTCATAACGGGAAAACATAAACATTACGTAAGCCGTTGCTTCATCAACTTTTGTATGAGATACAGAATATTATTTCCCACCAGTATTTTCAGACAGTCTTTTCCTCTTCTTATTATTTAGTTTTCTTTTAAAGATCATCAGGTGGAATATAAACGTCTTCCTTTTAAATTCAAAGTAGGTGTTTCATTTGCATGTTCAAATCCTATTGAGTACTGACTTATTTAACAGTTGTCCAAACAATCTATCTTCTGATTATTTGTCTAACTATTAATTATCCTATTTGGTAATATCGGTTACCATCAAATAAAAAGCAGACGAAAAATAAGTTATATGAATAATGATAATTATTTTTTGAATATCATGTTTCTTATCATTAACTATGATCCGTGGTAATGCCAGTAAAATTTATTCGACCAAAAATAACCGAATAAGATTCTGATAAATAAAAAATATTAATAATTGAATTCATGAATCCATTTAAGCTTGATCACCATTAAAAACTTGGAAGAACTGGACGACCATTTCATCCTAGTATAGGACTCCTCAGAAGTGAACACCAACGATCCAACGCATGGGATTTGAACTCAGCACCTTCAGTCTCGTTCATGAACTCTTAACCTCCAGAACACTGAGCGGTTGGGGATCCGACGGTGTTAATGTCAAACTTCAGTTAATACATGGTCTTTCGCAATCATTCATCCATTGTCTAAGGCGAATAACTGCTTCGACCCGACTTTTGAGTGCAGGATCGTGGGTGCGCATTGCTGAAGAACCCATACTGGGACGAAACGATCAACCAGAGCTTCCAGGTTTTCAATAGTGATCTAGCTTAAATTACTACAATCTCCATAAATGTCCATTCTGATAATAATTAATATTCAAAGTTAACTAGGAATTTTGATTTGAAGTTTTCTAAAAGTTCTTCAATATATACAACTGTTTAAGTTAACTATTGTTACTAACTAACCATAATTCCAAGTGATTTACATTGATTTTTGCCGAAAGAAAAAAATTTTTTAATGTAGGATAAAAAATCATTTACAAAATTATGTCATACTAGATGCCTTAATCTGATTAACTTGTTTACTTAACTAGTAAAAATTTCTCAGTTTGTATAAAGCGCTATTTATGTTTGTTTTTTTTTGTTTTTTTTGCGAAACCAGCATATCATATATCTTAATCAATTCAAAACATAACATGTGAATTATGAAAATTTTCTATTTGATAAACATATCTGTTATCTGTAATTAAGACAGAAAAAAAAGGAATTTGAGTTTATGCCAAATGTAAAATAAAACTTATCCAGAAAAATTAGAAAACCAAAGTAAATATATGAAAGAAAAAAATATATCTATATAGTAATCTAATTTCACACTTCTAAGTTCTTAAATTAATCTATTTAATCTTTTTATATATGTTTAATTATTACATTTTGGCTATGGAATGGATTTATATAAATAGGTGAATTCATGATTCAACTGAAGTTAGACCATATTGGGAAATCTAGAAGCATTAGACGGCCGTTTCGTTCTAGTATAGGACTTCGTAGCAGCGCGCATCCATTATCCCGCCTTGTAGGATATGAACGCAGGACCTATCGGTTTCGCTGGCGAACGCTTAACCTCTATAGTATTGAGTTAGCCAGCATCCATCTGTGTTAATGTCTAACTTCAGCCAATTCATGAAATTGCGCCACCGTGGGTGCGCACTGTTGAAGAATTTCATACTAGGGTGAAACGGTTATCCAGTGCTTCCGAGTTTTCCATGGTGGTCTAACTTCAATTAACCCATGAATGCAATTATTAAGTTACTAAGATCTCCATGTGACCCTCTTCTGATAAATTAATGAATTTATAAAAAATGATAAAATTTTTTTAATTCATTCTCTCACAATATGGATATTTTTACTTACGTATAAACCTTCTTATTAAATTAATTTAAAAAGATTATTTACAAAGGCTGAATGCATTTGTTATTTAATATTTATGTGTAATTTTTTCAGCCTATTAAAACATTAATAACATTGTTTTTTAGAGAGCTAAGAGTTTGTTTGACTTAAAGTTTTCGTCCTGAATATCAAGAATGAGCTAAGTTGCACTTACTAGGGATTCTTTTTTTAAAACTATTAACCGTAGATACATAAATATACATTTTATTTTATAGTTGAAATCATCAGTCAATTGAAGCTAGACCACCATGGAAAACCTGGAAGCCCTGAATGGTCATTTCGTTCTATTGTGCAACTCCTCAGCAATGCGCATTCACGATCCCGCCACAAGAGATTCAAACAGAGGACCTACAAGTCTCGCGCCAAAGCACATAACGCATAGACCACTGAGCCGGCATCTAACAGTTTTAATGCCTAACTTCAACTAAACCACGAAGTTGAGCAACCATCCACCATTGTCTTCCGTGAGTCGATATCTCACAGCAAATCCGGTTGAACTCCACTGGTCACTGCTTCTCACTAAAACTCTAGCTTCAATTGACTCACGATTTCAAATATAAAATTACCGAAATCTCCACAAAAGCCCCTTCTGAAAATATTTATGTGTTATCTTTTAAAATATTCTGTTTTGTAAAAAAGGAGTTTATGATTGTTTACTGAAATTTTTATTTTCTTACCTACCCTTAGGATGAATAACACTAATCAACTAGACAATTCACTAAATGAACTAACAACTAATTTTGAACAGATATCACCTATTCCAAGAACTTTATTACCAATTGATGGAAGAAACGAATGTAATCCAATCAAAATGTGTAATGAATATCATGATCAGAAAAAATTTGTTACTCCATCTGAATTTATACATAATAACACTTATTATCTTACAAATAATCAAAAGAACAAAATCAATAACAATAATAATATCACTGATAATACTACTCATAACAATTTAGTAGTTAAACAATCATTATTATTTAAACAAAATGAAAATACAAAGAAAACAAATCATTTTGTTAATTATTTATTAGAAAATAATGAATTAAATCAAAATAATAATATGAATGAAAATAAAAATGATAATAAAAATTTGTTATTATTTGATATTATGAATACATCATCATTGAATTCACCTTCATCTTCTATTTCATCAAAATCTGATTTAGACAATCGTAATAATAATACTAACTCAAATGATTATTTAACAAGAAAAAATTTTCAACAAAATATTTCTCTTAAAATAAAATCTATTCAAGGTAAATATAATTTTGGTAGATTTAATTTTCAAATGAAAATTATTTTTAATAGTTAAGATTGTGAGTCTATTGAAGCTAGACCATCATGGAAAACTTGGAGGTATTGGACGGACGTTTCATCCCAGTGTGAAACTTCCAAGCTCCAAGAGGTATTTCCTGGAGTTCTAGTATGAAGTAGTGACCAGGTGGGTTCAACCAGGTCTGTTGTGAGATATCAACTCACTGAAGACATTGGTGAATGGATCGGTTGAAGTTAGAGACTAACACCGTTGGATGCTAGATCAGTGCTAGAGTGCGAGACTGATAGGTTCTGGGTTGGAATCTCTTAAGGCTGGATCGTAGATGCGCACTGATGATGAGTCCCACTATAGGACGAAACGGCCATCCAGTGCTTCCAGGTTTTCTATGGTGTTCTAGCTTCAATGGACTTATGATTTCAACTATAAAATTATTAAAATCTCCACAAAACCCCCTCCTGGTAATTCAGTAAATATCCATCCTTCGCCTTTGTATCTAATTTTTTTGTAAATATTATTACTTTATTTAAAGAAATTTCAATCTTTTCATTCAATAACTGAAAATGAGATTATAAGATCTGTCTAATTAACCAATTATTTTCTAAAAAATTATCTTGTTAATACAACGAAGGGTATGAATATATACCTTATTTCACTTACCGAGTTCATGTAAATATTAAGTCTTAAACAAGCAATAAGAGATGTTGTAAAAATGATGTCATTTGAATAATATTTCTAAGAACTTCAGTTCGAAATGGTTTTCAATTATTCATTATTAACTGAAAGTGAAAAAGGATTTCTAATTTGACTGTAAACATTATCCGAACTATATTAAATTAAATAAAAATAAACGACTCATGACTTAACATGAATAATTCCATAATTATTCGGTTAATTCACTGATTACATATATATCTGAGTTCAAGTGTCAATTAATGCTAGACGATTATTGAGAACCTGGGAGCACTGGATGATCTTCGACTCCTCAACAGTGAACGTCCACGATCTCGCCTCAAAAAAATTGAACCCAGGACCTATCGGTCTCCCTCGTGAACGTTTATCCTCTAGACCACTGAACGGCATCTATCTGTGTTAGTGTCTACCTTAAACCAATTTCATGGACTGGTGGTTTGGCTTTAATTGATTGATTAACTCAAAAATGAAATTACTGCAATCTACAAAAAATCCCTTCTGATTACATATATATTAAAATTTGAAAATTTCATTAAATTAACTTTTCAGAATTAAACGTACTTATTATAAATGAATCTTGGCATATAATAAAATATTTATTTGACATTAGATACTTTAAGCTATCTAAAAGGAGATTAGTAATGTTTCTAGGTTGCAATTTATATAATTGTATAGAAAAGCAGGCATTTTGTGTTTTAGACTGGTAACTATCAGATGAATTATGTTACAAACGTTTGGTAACAAAAATATAGTGTTTTCTCTTTTTATTTCAGGGTCTAAGAAAGATCGAAATACTGAGGGTAGATGTCCAATAAGAGATTGTGATGGAACTGGACATGCTACTGGATTATATTCATACCACAGAAGGTCAGTGCTTTCACAATATTTATTGATTTCGTAGTAGAATAAATCGTAATTCTTTAAAAAAATAACAATCCACTTGTTAACCTGATTTCAGTTTATGGAAGACAATTCCAACTGATATCAAATATATCTTAAACAAATGAACGAGGATAAGAACTATTGTTAAATGAATACCTTATTCTAGTAAGAACCTTACCATTAACAATAATATGACAAGCCTTGTCCTAAGTCGAACGAGATTTCAGACCAAGTTACTGAAAAATAAAACGATGTGCTTTAACGTAAAAAATATAAACTTTTGTTGATGGAGACAATATTAAACAAACTTACAAAACTAAAATTTATTACAATATCAATGTCGTGCTTGAGATTCTTATAATATGCTCTTAATCCCTTAGATGCTTATATAATAATAGTGTTACAATACTATCTGAATCAACTCTGTTAGTTTTGGGACATAGATAGTAATTGATTGTTCTACAATCAGTTAATTATCACCTCAGTAGGTAGAAAAATTCACCACTAATTTGGTAATTAGTTAGTATTAGACTAAGCAATAAGTAATTAGTGATACATTTGATGTAGTTTATTTCGGTTGTCTATAAAGGGCTGTTTATTTATGTTCAATTAGATTAATATTGAAGTACTCATATGATCAATATTTACTTGCCACGTAATAATTTCAAAAATGGTCATTTAGAGATCCCAAATTTCGATTATTTGATTTTAATCTCGGTAAAATTAATTAACTGTCTTAATGATATCACTGAAGTGAATGAATATGTTTAGGATACAATAAATATGAATGAAATGTTGATATATCATCTATGTGGTAAGTCTTGCTTAATTTAATAAAAACTGCAAAAGAAGAACTTACCGTTAAATTTAAAAATATAATTATTACAAAGTATTTGTGGAAATTATATAATTGTTTATCACAAACTGATCTCAGCGATGCAATCGCTAAAAACGAGGGAAAACAGAACAGCTCTTCGTCCTAGTTCGGTATTACTCAGAAACTACTCCCAGAAGCTATGTCTCTCTTTACGAACGGTTAAAATTTAGACAACTGAGCTAGTATCCAATGGTTCATATGTTTAAATTCAATCAATTCGCGGTGCTGTGCAATTATCTAATATAATTAGTGGGTGAGGGACTAAAACTTATCATATTTGAACTTCATTGGTCACAGTTTCTTACTATAACTTCAGTACTTACATTTTGAGCTCAGTCGCTAGTCAGCACATGATTATTAGATAATGTTAGGTTTGTTTAGATTGTGGAATTTAATAGTATATCACTGACTAGTTACTGATGGGAGTCATGGTTGCGTACTACTGGGGAGTCCTAATCCATGAAGAAATAACTTCTCGATGCTTCTTCGTTTACGATGGTTGTTTTGTTTTAGTCTCTCCGTGATATGAACTACAAAAATACCATGTAATTCAATAAGACCTGTCATCAATATGATACTACTACGAATAATAATGAATTGAAAATAAGTATAGCTCACAATTTTTTTTACATAAGACATTCATTCTTAAATAAACCAATTCATATTTCTTTTGGAATGTTAAATAAACTTGGATAATTTAATTCACTTGGTGTTGTTTACTTGTATCATTCCACTGTTATTTAGGACTGCAACTGATCAGTCTCTTGTTAGCATATGTGCATCCTGTACAGACTGCCTCGATATTGCCTGAAGTTACAAGATTTATAAGCAATGATGAATAGTGGCAGTCCTAAATAACAATGGGAAGATACAAGTAAACAACACCAAGTGAATACAACTTTACCCCATTACACAAGCAGGTGACTCTCAGGACTCAGTAGCTAAGTGGATAACGCGATGGCGTTTGAAGTGAACAGTACTGGATTCGAATCCCAGAGTGAATATCAGATCTGAGATGCAGGTACATCCAACTGATGAGTCACAGATAGGACGAAACGCGCATCCTAGATTCCATTGTTAGCCACTATCCATCTTTGCTTACAGAGCTTGGATAATTTAAGTTTATTAGTTACGGAATGATCTATTTTGTTTTTGAATATTTGCACACGATATCTACAAAATTCCGCTTAATAATATCTACTGAGTGTTAGAATACTTTTCACAAAAGTTTTTTTATGCATTTTATCTCTACAAGTTATTTTTATGGTCTGTTATCATTTCCTAAAAGACCTTCAAAAAAAAATTTGATGAAATGTTTAACAATCGAATACATTATAGTTATCTTATAAGTGATCATCAGTAATAGAACTGGATAGGTGACTAAACTTAATGATGAAACAGAATTTAACATTTATCTTTTGTGAGCATGGCTGGAATTCGAAATAGTAATACAGAAGAATGACATAAATCTTTTGAAACAACTCACTGTCTATATAAATGAGCATCAATACTTATTAATAGACTTTATAATCTTTTATTAACCGTATAAATTAATATAGCTTTCTACTTTTATTCTATTGTTTTTAGTGTTTCTGGTTGTCCACGAAAAGATAGAGCCAGTGTAGCAGGTAAGTGATTAACTCTTGTATAAATAAGTTAAATTTATTAAATATAAAACATTCCAATAAAATTATGAATCAGTCAACGAAATTCAACAATCTTGATAACCTTAATTTGAAAGAATATTTAGGCTTTAATAATAATTGGAAACAAAGCTATTCGAGTAACAATTACTTACTTACGCATGTTACTCATCACAGAGAAGCGTAAGGCGACCACCAGCATTCTCCATTAAACCCTGACCTAAGCAATCCTTTCCAGTTTTTTCCAGTTATAATTCATTCTTTTCATATCTGCTTCCATTTCACAGAGTAATGTGTTCTTTAGCCTTCCTCTTTTCCGCTTCCCTTCAACATTCCAAACTGGCACTCACCTTGTGATGCAGTTTGGTGATTTCCTCAATGTATGTCCGATCCACTTCTAACGTCTTTTCACAATCTCCTCTTCAGTTGGAAGTTGGTTTGTCCTCTCCCACAGAAAGCTTTTGCTGATGGTATCTGACCAGTGAATGTTGAGTATTTTGCGTAGATAGCTGTCTATAAATACTTATACCTTCATGATGACGGATATAGTAGCTCTTCTCGTTCCAGCTTCGTACGGTATAATTCACTGCCTTGACGTCCATATTGAAGATTCTCACTTTGAGATTAGTTGAGAGTTATTTTGAGTTCCAAATGTTCTTCAATTGTAGGAATGTGGTCCTTGCTTTGTCGATCCTCGTATTTACATCTGCAAATAACATTTAAGTTTATTTTATAATCAAGTCAAAGTATTCAATGAAACCAAACTTGTGAGGACTTAAACTTCAGAAATTAGTGAACTTCTAATCCTATTGAAGATTTCAGTCTAATAATGTATATGAAATTAATGCCTTCTAATTTATTAGTGGAATACTATTGCAACTTGTTTTTTGGTACTGTATAAAAGTTCAAGATCTCGAATGAAACATTTAGGTTTAAAAAAAGTTAGAGATAGGTTACATCAATATACGTAAAAGAATTGTTCAATTCGCAAATTATAGAAACTTCTCCATGTGATGAAATGTAAACACAGAACAATTTATTTTTTCATATTTATCATTAGGAATTGATTTGGTCACTTATTAAGTTAATCTCTATAAATAAGCATTTAGGATATATTAAGACCGATTTGTTGTGAAATTATTCAAAAGATTATTACAGAAATGATGTGAAAAGTTCTATTTGTGATCATTGATATTTCAAAAGCAATGAAATTGAAATCATGAACTGATGAATGTTAGACCATCATTTAAAACCTGGAAGCACTGAACGGCCATTTCGTCCTATTAAATATAATCATTATTTTATTCAAAACCTTAAACTAATTCATCATAAATAACAAAATCTCTGAAAAGAAAGAAGATTATCACTACTTTATTCATATTCACAGTATTTGATTTCAAGGTGTTTAACTTTGTTTTATTCTATTCGACTATAAATTAACAATATCTAGTTTATAAGATTGAATAGGAATATATTTCCTTGAAAAAGCTTGGACCTGATTGCCAGGCGAAACGTTGGATTTACTTCAAATTCATTCGCTGAGATTTTACTAACATATTATTCCTACTTAATATCTTACATCGACTCGGCGCCCAAATACTGTGAAACTATTTGCCCTAATTTAGACGAAAGTTCTTATGTCTACTTTACAGCATTATAAATTTTAAATCTCAACTCCCTTTTATTGAAAATTAACTTTGTCACTTCATTTTTTACGTTTGATAAGCCAACATGAAATAAACTTATTCAGTATTTCTATGATAAACTTAACATTTCCTCGAATAGTAAGTGATTAGTTAGTTTTGCTAATCGATTTTATCCTAGAAATTTTATTAAACTTATTTATGATTACTTCATTTTCACAATCATATACATTCTATACTGTCAATCAACAAATACTGTTTAATCCAATGAGTAATTCAGATTAGTATCATAACTGATACAGGTCTATTTAACCTGGCTACTTAATGTGGTATGTGATACTTATAACGACATAAGTAGTATATAAGCTAGTCAGGAATAGAATGTCTAAGAACAGAAGGTCGAGAAGGAAATAATGGGAACAGAAAACAATTGTTATGGAAATGTAGGGACAACGAAGTGTGAGATGATTGACTGACATTCGCAAAAGAAGCAGTCAAGTTTGAGACAAATGATTGACATTTTGCAAATGAAGTATTTTTTGTATGGTTCTTATGTTTTATTAAGATATTCTGTAATTTTGTGTTCAGATACATTCGGTGGTCCTCACTTGTGTTCTCGTTTGCTACACTTATTAGCTCATATATTATGATGGAAATATGAATAAATATATATTCTACAACTGTATATTATCTAAATTTCATAATGTAGTACCGAAATTCTTTTTAGACAGTTTGTTAACTTAAGCAAAAACAGGAATATCATTTCATTCATATGAAGTTTTGAAAATCAACTTTTTTTATATGTTTATTGTCAAACTACTGCGTTTTCTTTACACTATAAAGACTAATGAAGATTACTTACAGTGAAGCTAATAAACTGAAACACCAGAGATATCCCAAACTTTAAAAAAACATCTATTCCATAATCATTTGTTTATGATTGTTCGACAGTTGCAGTTAGCCCGCAACGAAAATAAAAATCTAAATATATAAACTTTTATCGCTCCAAATATATTCTGAAAAAAACAAAAAACGGTTTCAAATCTTAGATTATCATTTTTAAATACCCACCTATATACCAATACAACTTTCCTGATATAAAATCAGTCAGCATCTAGTTTATCAACTTAGCTAGTTTAATACAGATGTTTTCTAGTATAAACCTTAAATAAATAAATAATAATATTAACAAGAGTTTGGCATACAAACTAGGCTAAATCTGTCATAATTCGACCTAGTTTAAATAGTCACACACTAAGAAATCTTATATATACATATACATATATAGCTAATTTGACAGTAACTACCATTTTTTGAACTAAATTTCTTAAGTATTAAAAGTGAAACGAAATTACCATGAACTAATTGACTGCTATTATTATGCCTTAATAGAACGAATACTATAAAATGAAGTCTTAAACATCGTGATAAGTAGATGCACCTGTTAATACTACTATTTTATATATCTGTATAATATAAGTAGTAAGAGTTGAGATTAATATATATTTCTGGTAGAATTACTTGCATAATGATAGATTCCTTCTTCTTTTTGGTATAAAGTGAATAGTTTTTCTTTTGTTCTAATCTTTCTTGATATTTATAAATATACATATCTGCATAACCACTTTTGGCAACATGAAATCTCTCATTAAAAATGGTAAACAGAATCAAGCAAATATTCTTTTTTCTTAATAGTTATTAAGAAAACTAATTGGAAAGCTTTTAGGTGGTGAAAAAAACTAGAATTACTAAGCGAAATTTTTTGTTCATCTTTTCAAATTAAGGAAGATAATTGGAAAATTGGACACGCGACTTCATTTTTATTTCTAATCAGTGAACTAGTCTTTAAATTAGCTTTAATTAAACATTTTTTGGTATGTGTTGTTTGTATGGATACCTTTTAGTAGATTTAATGTGATTTTTGCTTTGCTTTAAAAAAAAACCATACTGATAAGATTTGATTTTTTTTTCTTTTTTACTTATTCAAATGTGTACACTAGTTATAAAGATATAAGTAGTATGCAAATAGATTAAAGATATATGAAACTTAATAACTAATTTGAAAAACCACGTGTATGCTTAGACCAGAGTTAAGAGAGAAAGAAGAGAAAATAAGAAATTAATGTTGTTCAAAATATAAAGTATTAAGAAATTCATAATCTTATCACAATTCTATAGAATAGTACCACATGTTATATAGTTAATCAAATACAATAAGATATATATTATGCCCTATGAAAAATTTATTCATCCATATGTGTGATATATTTGTATGCGTATATAGATGTTTGTTCACTTTATATTCTTTATGCGAAGTGAATATCATCATAATACATAATAATAACTAAAAGAATATCCACATATGTTACAACAGGATAAGATAACGCTTAAAGAAGTAATCTTTATGGCAAAATCAAGTTCGAGGACCATGAAAAATTAGTACTTTTTTGAAATATTCTAACCAATCTATCTTTAAACTTATCCTCCATTAATGAGGTAAGATGAATAAAAATATAGTAAATGATAAACTAATTCACAAGAACGTCTTATTTGAACAAATACAGATGAAATCTATTTTTATACTGGTTGTTTGAATCTCCCCATTCATGTTTAGGACTGCTATTGAGTAGTTTCTTATTAGCACATATATATCCTGTATGAATTGCCTCGATAGTGCCTTATGTCACAATCATTATAAGCAGAGACGGATGGTGGCTAGCACTGGAATCCAGGATATACGTTTCATTCGAATGACGAGTACCTGACCAATTCAATGATAAGTAAATACACTAAACCCAATAGTTTTATACAGAAACCTAATTGTGATATGTTAGTCAAATGTATTAATTCGTTTTAACTTCTAATCTCAATTTGATTGTGTACATTAGAAAACATAAGGTAGATTGTTATAAATGAATTAATATATTTGTAATATCCCAATAAGTAGAAAAACTAGATTTTCTGATGTTTCGTGACTCGGTTTAAGTCACTTCTTCAGAGAACAGATAACCAAATTCACATTAATCCACGTTTAAATAGTATAACAGAATAACACGAATATTATTCTCTGTAGAGAATAAAATTTATTAGTATCTATTTTATTTAAAGGTTCTATGAATTGTTATATCTGACAAGTAACACTTTGTACAGAAATAAAATTCCACAGTAAGTAGATCTTCTTCAGTATGTAGATCAATGAAAAAGGAATATGAGTATAATTCATTTTTGATATAAAAAGTCAACTAGTTCATAATGAGCCAATACAATCTTTAATAATGAAATAAACAACTGACTTATATTATCATGAACTGTTTGATAGTTAACAAAAATTAACAGTGTAAACTTTCACAGAACAACATTTTGTAAATTATGCGTAATAGTATTTTTATTCAGATTTGTCAGTGAATTTTGCACAAACCGCAGTGTTCTTCATTTTCACAATGAGATTCATCATTAATTAATGTTACTTGAAAAGCCATAGAACCAACGAATTCCACTAGGTAGCCCAGTGGTATTGTGATCATTCTAAAATCTCAAGTTATTATGTTCGGTTTCGTATGAGGTTATTTGTACCTACTACTGAAAAGTTTCAAAAGGGTATGAAACAGCTATTTAGCACTCTATGATTTTGACTTTTCTGAGCTATGCCTGTTCACAATGACAGTTACCTTATATTTACTCAGAATCTTCACTGTAACTCTAGATCTTGTTTTCATAAAACTCATTAAGATCTAATAGCGTTGATCGGTGAAATATTAAACATCAACATAAATATTCTTCTAAGGTAAATGATTAATAAGAAAATGATCCTTTTTGTCTAGCAAAAACACAAATACATACCGATTTAAAATGTATCCAGTTTTAATGTTTATTTATTTTATAATTTAACCAACGAATTCAACTGAAAAGATACATTTTATCTTCATACTATATTATATTGTTGACAGATCATGATTATTTTATTGTTAAGATTTGATACATATTATATATAATGTATAGTGAAGTCATTCTACTATATATGATGGACTAAATCCTAATAACTGAATAACTAGTTTTCACCTCCTTACTGAGGATTATATGTTTATGTCTAGGTGTTTGCTAAAACCTGACAAATCACATATGTATACTATATACATACTATACTATATAAAAAAAGAATAAAACTACCATTCATATCATTAAGTAAACATTTGTTGATGAAAAATAAAGATGATTGTGGGAAGGAAAAGGAAATTTTCTAATGACAATAATAATAATATAATTTCATACTTCATATACAATTGAATGTAAACAATGGTACATGGAACTATTTGCACGTTAGTAACTAATCTTTCTACTGGAATCTTAGGTTTTCTTAAAAAGACGAACATAGTTGATCTAAATTTTTTTGTTTATGTAGAAGACACGAAAAAATAATTATTCTTATGTGCTAAATGCACTGTACAAACTGTTATTAGTTGTCAAGGGATCTAATTTCATTGTGTAAGTCTGTGGTTTTAGATTGTAGGCATACGAATTAGTAGAACTGATCATCTGTGAAAAGAAATGTAGAAAAGATGAAGAAGAAAAGGAGAAAAAAACTAAACCTCATGTTGATTTTTATCATAATCTGGAGAAAATGTATAATCAGTTATATTTATTCGCATTGTTTACATAATTGATGCACATAGTTGAACTGTTTTTCAGTATTACCTCCCAGGTGTAACTATGACTTTGGTTAGATAAGAATCTATTATTTAACTTCTTGTCAACATGTATTAATAATGATGATGACGATGATATTGATGATGATGGTAATATGTTTGGAATAAGCAGTATGTCATAAACATAACAACTGTTCAGATAGACATTTAAAATACAATGCAAAATCAGTGTTTGAAGAAAACATAATTTTTGAAAGTTTTTTGGATAATTTCACGCTTAACTACTCTTTTGTTTTATTATTTATCTGTATTTTTATGAATCACAAGGGTAATTAAAGTATTCACCAAGTAGTCAGTAAATATATATCGTTGGTGTTTCAGGTTTGTGCTGATGATGTCGTTCAGAAGAACGATGAAAGCTCCACGACCAAACCATTGAGCTCAGAGAGCAACACCCTATCAAAATCATTGGTTTTTATTACTTAAGTCATCATTATAATAATTGTAGAATTCGTCGACCCTTTTACCGTGTAATGTAGATATGAAAGTTACAATCAAAATATCTCATATAATCAATAGTATAAGAATTTTTGACATTGATCGTTACAAAATTATCATTAGCATTGTAAGTAATTATTTAGCATTTGTAAATCATATCACTAAGCTACAACTTCTTACTTTTCATGTTTACCTTTTATGTTTCACAAATATTCATTACACAGTTTAATTGATATATACATATTGAATGTAGTTTATCTGATCTTCCCAAAACTAGTTATATAATGGAAAAAAATCGGTATATTTATTCTACCTCAGAAGAAACAACTGACATTGACCTGTGAAATGTCAGAAAATAAAATTTTCTACCCATTGGAATATTAAAAATTCTATATTGTTACTTATCAATATATTCAAATCATCTAATTCTCAATTCATTTAACATTACTATCAGAAGAGTTTTTTGTGGATATTATAGTAATTTTACTAATTGAGATCATTAGTCAATTGAAGCTAGACCACCATGGAAAACCTAGAAGCACTGGACGGCAGTTTCGTCCTATTGTGCGAATGCTCAAGAGGTATTTCCTGGAGTTCTAGTGAGAAACATTGACCAGTGGAGCTCAATCGGGTTTCTTATTAAATAGTAACTCACTGAAGACAATGGTGTACGTTGGCTCAATTTCGTGCTTAGGGTAGAAGTTAGATATTGACACCGTTGGATGCCGGCTCAGTGGTCTAGAAGAGTCTCAATATATGATGAAACGGCTCTCCAGTGCTTTCAAGTCATTTGAAATTATCAATCCAAAACTAATTATGATATTCAAAAGGTAATTGGAGTTTATTTTCGATTTCACACTAAAATATAACATTATTATTTAATTTTCATTATTTTTTCTCTTTTGTTTTATTCATAGAACTGGCTCTCTACCACCAAACTTTACATTGTCCAACTCCAGGATGTACCGGTAGAGGACATGTTAATAATAATCGTTCATCTCATAGAAGGTAAGTAAATCGCAAAGAAATTTATAAATAGATGAATATATATATACTACTAATCGTATTATAATCATATTTTAGAGTTATAATCTATAGGTTACTCAAAATTGAAAATTTATATTTAAAAATATTTTAGTAGAGTCGTTAACTATAGAATATCTGACATTTAATACTAATCACATTGATTATTTATAAAAATAAGTCGTCCTAAAAGTTCATTTTAAGTAATAATTAAATTCGATTTTGGAAAATAGGTTGTAAAGTTCAATCAACTCAGCACACTCTTGAAGAGTTCCAAAATAGGAGTAAACAGGTGCTCAATACTTTCAAGTTCTAAATAGCTGTGGAACTTTGTTTGACTCATGATGTCAGTAATATTTGACCATTTCCATAAACCACCAAAATGATTTTTCTTTTTATTTATAAAATAGTATTGGGACATTTGATTTAAAATTTCAGGATTTTCTATCATCACTTTGGGTATTAAATGTTTTAATTTCATTACTGTCAGAAAAACATGATGATTGCGTGCATTAACATTTTCATTCTTTTTATTTTTCGGTATGTCACAGTATCTAGACTCACAAAAGTTGTAGTGAATCAATTATGAAAGGTTTAATTTCAATAAAGTTTTCTCATAGATGATTGTTTATTCATATTAAAAGTTTACCTTAGTTTATTTACCGTGTTATTCTTCTTCATTGTAAATGAATTCGCACTGACAGTAATAAAACATGTTAGTGAAATCGGAATCTTGTGTAACTAGGTAGGATAGATATTAGTTTAATTATAGACAGTTTAATATTATCATACTAAACATTCGAAGTAAGATATAACTAATTTTTAGACAAATATCCTGTAGTTCTAGATGAAGTGCCTTGATTTTTCCGAAGAAAAAATCAAATGTATAGCAGCTAGTTAACTTTGGTAGTGAGCAATCATTTCGTCATATAGCCAGTAGTCAAAAATTCAGTTGTATGAACCATTTAATGTATTGACTTACTGGCTGAATGTGATTTTACCTTTAACAAGATATAAAAATTCTTTGTTCCGTTTCGTAAAAGTTCGTATGACTGCAGTGATAAACATTTTAAACTAGGATAAAATTACATTCACTTGATGTTGTTTACTTGTATCTTCCCATTGTTATTTAGGACTGCACATATACCAACAAGAGACTAAACAATTGCAGTCCTAAAACTCAATGGGAAGATTCAAACAAACAATACAAAGTGGATTCAAACTTCACCCCATTGCACAATTAGGTGGCTATTAGGACTCAGTAGCTAAATGGATAACGCGGTGACGTTTGAAGCGAATGTTACTAGGTTCGAATCCCAGAGGGAACATCAAATCTGAGACGCAGGTACATCTAGCTGATGAGTCCCAAATAGGATGAAACGCGCATCTTGGATTCCACTGTCAGCCACTATCCATCTTTGCTTATAAAGCTAAGATAAAATTGTTTCAATTATTATTTAGTTTTATCGTGCAATGTGATGAACCTTGGACACTATTGATATTATCCACATATGTTTTCATACAAATTGAGAGTACAACATATTTGTGTAAAATTTTAAATACTGAGTCCATATGATCGTTAAATATAATCCCCAATTAATTAAGTTTGAATATAGAACTTACATAATATAATCATTAAAAAAAGTCTTAATCTTCTTGTAACTTTATATTTTATTATATAGTATTGGTGAATTTTTAATTCATTAAAACAAAGAAAAATGTTCATTTTTATGTTGATTTTTTTTTGTATAAATATTAATAATTCAGTTTGCTTTATTCACTTTTATGCTCAACATATTCAAATATTATTCAGATTATATGTTAAACAAAGTGATATCCAAGCCCTAGAGATAGATTTATTTCCCTTGTGTACGAGTCTTCATATATGTTCACGTATAACATATCTTTGTAGTATATATGTATATACAACCTGTTAGATTAAACACATAACTTAAATAAAGACAAGTATATCATACTTTGCTGTTATTTCATATCTCAAAAAAAGAAAAATACTATCATATGGGTAAAATTTGAATGAGAATCAGTTTCCACTCCTCCTCTTTTTCTACTTATATGTTTATATATCTAGATATATCTCTTCATAATTCATAAACTGTCAGTAAGGTAATATCATAAAACAGTAGCAATACACATTTTGTTGCGTCATTTATGACATTAAATACATACATATATATATTTTAGCATGAGAACTTATGAAATTTTATGTTATTGTGTGTCATGAAACCAACTATCATATATATATATATATATATATATATATATATATATATATATATATATACTTCAAAAGAGGCATGAGTTAGATACTCAGAGGAAATGAGAGTTTCTTTCAAACCAAAGTCGAATTAACTCAATTTTGATACAACAACAACAACAAAAACTCTATTCATTCTCTCATTCTCTAATTTTGATGTTATAATCCCAAAGGATTAGAGTTGTTAAAAATCAAACAACCATTTTCAGTTGTACAATGAATTAGTTTTATATATATATATATATATATATATATATATATATAATTAAAAGGAAAAGATATATCATTTTATGAATAAGTTTTACAGTTTTAGAATAATATAAAGACTTAATTAACAAATACTACTTAAGTAATATATTTATTAATTTACTCCTTTTAATAACATTTATTCCCATTGTTTGTTTGTTTACTTGTTAATTTCAATTAAATCATTCGAAACTTTTAATTTATGTTAAATGGAGGTAGGTAGCATTTTGATTGTATGATAATAATTCACAACAATAGAAAGTAACTTAGATATAAGGTATACATTCTATTCATAAGTAGTTTTGGAAAAAGATAAATCCATAGCATTGTGGTGAACGAGGATACAATTGGGGATCAAATTACAGAATATCTCAGTAAAACGTAAGAACCATACAGTAAATACTTCATTTGCAAACTTTCAATAAATTATCTCAAACTTGACTATTCGTTCTGCAAAATCGTAATCATTCGTCTCAGACATAATTGTTCTTTTGTTTCCACACTAATCATTCTTTGTATTCGTTCTGTTTCCTTCGTTCTTCTTAACCTTATGCCGCCAGACATGCCACTTTCGATTGATGAAACATACTACTAGTATCGGTCGACATCAGTAGCACACACCACTGTATGAATGTTATAGTCATCAATAAGGATTGAACTAGTCTACATAAATGAATAAAAGTATGCCATATATATTTATTTTACAATCTTCCAACATTTTAACAGTAATTAAGTATCTACGTTAGAATGCAATATCGATGGTAAGTGTGTTTTTATATAGTTCTATTAGGTTGACTACAGCATGTTTTTATAGTTCAATAGATAGATAACACCGAGATTCCTGATTTAAATACAAAGTGCTAAATCAAACAATGAAATTTTACCTGTAAATTAAAATTTCATTACTTAGTGAATATTAACTAGATTGAAGTGAATTTTTTACAGAAAATTTTAGTTATCAAACTTTACAAACTAGAAAATCCAAGTTAGTCAGTTTTCTAAATAATTTTTCTGGATTGTTATCTACTTCCATCATACACACTAAGATATACATACAGTCAATTCGTTTCTATTATAAGGAGAGCTTGTTTTCTTGTCACCGATGAGTTATTGATTGGTAACTAATATATATATATGGTAAATGGCCTTTAATTAATTTCTCACTAATCTGTGCTGTTATAATACTCAGCTATTAGTTTATTTGTGGAATAGTTTATACCAATTATGGTGTACAGTATCTAATTATATAACTTTATACAAAAATTAAAATCTCATTTTCATGACTTTTTTTATTTCAATTGGATAATAAATTACTAATTACTTCAGACTGTCTATTACAAGTTACATAATGTAGACGTTTTTAGATTTAACTCATTCATCCGGAATCCTTAATTTTTCAGAATAAATGGATAATAATAATGTAATAATGTATTCACGGAAGCATATATTGTCCTGTTTATGACTCATCAAATAGAAATGCTTGTATATCCTTGATGATGATCATTTTTGTACTTAAATATAGTACAGTTTACTTCAAGCGCCAATTCTTTATCTACTGAGCTACTGAGTTCAGATAGTCACCAATTTATTTGACTTCTGTGTTGTTTACATCATTATCATTTAATATATGTGGAGGTAATCCGGACAACATTCACAATGTGAAGTAAGTTTACTCAAGATTCATTCCGGAATATCAACAACGGTATTATTCATACGTCATCACGAACTCTATAGCTCTGTAGAGAACGCGTTGAGTATTCGAAATCAAACGTCATGAATTAAAAGCTCAATGTGAATATCAATAATAGCGTAGTAAAGAAGAGGACGAGTGGGGACAATCGACTGTATTTGACACGAAAATTACAGAATATCTCATTAAAATCTGACAACTACGTAGTAAACAGTTAATTTGCAAACTATCAATCAATTGTCTTAATCTTGACCACTTCTGCAAATATCAGTCCATCGTCTCAGATTATTATTGTCCATGCATTTTCATACCGATTGCGTTTCGTTCTCGTTCTTTCCTCATCGATATTCTATTGAAATACATCGTCATATACTACTTATGTGGATGTAAGCAACCCATATCACAATGGTATATAGATATCTCCACTTAGTAAGTCATAAAAGTGACTCTTATTTTCAATCGGATAAATCACCATGTTTTAATATGAATTTTTAAAATTCTACTGTCATTTTCCATTGTCTTCTACAGTAAATCACTTTCAAGTTCACCGTAACACATATTTTGTTAATATAATAATCTCTCTTAAATAATGATTAATTGACCGACAATCAGTGTTACTGAAAAACTATTTTCATGACACACTGTCTGTGTCAAGTAGTTTTTTTTCTGTTCTATCTCTATAACTATTAATTATCACTCTCATTTATGATAACTTATTTACAAAGAGTATGAAATGATCACTTCAATATTTTCCCAGATTTTTTTAAATATGCCAATATTTTGATTGATTTATAACAGTTTTTCTGGTTGTCCTCTTGCAAGTCGAAATCGAAGCAGACAATCAAAGAGGCCATTATCTCCACAAAGTAAGTCAATATCAAACTCAATAAGCTCTTCTATTTTCTTTATGCAGATAATTTTACTCTTTGATTAGTTAACTTAAGAAATTTAATGATCATGGTTTTTATGCGAAGTTAATGTGGGATTAATATATCAGTGAAATAATTATTGATCTGTATTATAGAAACTTTATGAAATAGTTTCGGTCAACTACGTTGTATGGAAGTTGACAACATCAACATATCGACCAGAATTATTGTCCTAACTAACAGTTAAATTCTTTTCATATTAGAATAAAGATAAAGTCTAAGGATCTAAGTCATAGAATGCTGACTTCCCTGTGAACTTACAGACTTTAATCACTTTACAAATGCTGAATCACGTATTCGGTTTTATATGCAGATAATAAAACAGTTAATAATCCAATGAAAATATAGTTTCCATTGGTAAAGATCAACAAATGTATCTAATGTTCAACAGGACTATTCGTGTTATAATTATTTAGTAGAATACTTTGGTAACTAGTACCTTTAGACAATATTCACAAGACTAAATAAAACCACATATCTTTTCTTATATGGGAAAGATGTTCTCGGTATAACATTGATTTACAGTTCACTGTGAAGGGATATGAAGGCAAGGATTGACAAACAAAGGACAGCATTCCTATAATTAAAGGACATATGAAACTCAAAACAACTGTCAACCAACATCAAAGTCACAATCACCAATACGAACGTTGAAACAGTCCTACTATATGGAGATGAAATTTCAAGAACTAATGAACCATCATCATCAAAAAGGTACAAGTATTCATAAACAATTGATCACGCAAGATATCCAATGTTCGTTGACTGGATACCATAAGTAATAGCCTAGTGTGGTTGAGAACAAGCCGGCTTCCAGATGAAGAGGAAATTAGGAAAAGACGATGGAAGTGGATAGGATACACATTGAGGAAATAATCAAACTGCATCACCATGTAAGCAGTAATTTGGAATCCCGTAGGCAAGGAAAAGAAAACCAAAGAACACACTGAGATGAGAATTTGAAACAGACATCGAACGAATGAATACCAACTGGAAAGAAATGGAAAGGAATACCTAGGAGAGCGTTCGATCGTGAATGCTGGTGAGCGGTCTATGCTCCTTCACGAGGTGTAACAGGTGTAAGTACGTAAGTAAGTAAAGGGACTCATTTAAAATACTATGCACAAATCCATAATCTCTAATTGTTGAATATATTTCGTTTTTAAAAGTGAATATTTCAGTTTTATTTAAAAAATAAAATCGTTTCACAGCATTTCAGTAATATTTCATCTTTTTATCGTTTATTTTTCCTGATTAAGAAATTGAAGCACGGCATAAATCAAATCATTTTGGAGTGAATCATGAAAGTAATGCATCGTTTTCTAAAAAAATTTACCATTCAAGTAGTGTAAACAGTAAACTTAATCCATGTAATTCATCACTTTCAACGTTATCCACATCATCGTTACCATTGTCTGATTTTATTAAACAATCACAATCATTTCAAGGAATTCCTCCAACAGATTTACTTGCGAACTTTCCTCTTAAAAATATGATTCATACTGAATCAATAAATTCAAACTATTTGGTCAATGAGTTCTCGGATTCTTTTTCTAAATCGCTTTATAACTTGCTACCTAACCTCATAAATACACCACAGTTTTCAACTTTATTCAACTGTCCAACCACAATTGCCAATAATGACAGTAATATGGCTAACTTATATCATAATTCACAAACTCTCTATCCCATGCTTAATTCATCTACATTAATTAATAACAATAATAATGATTCAAATATGAAAGAGTCCTCTCCACTGACAAATATTATAGAAAAGTCAACTTCTTTAAAACCTGAAGATATGAATTTCCCAAAATGTTTGAATAATGCTTCATATAATTTAAATTTACCACGATGTGGTATACTTCAGGATTCTTTCATGTATCATAATCAATACAGGGGTAAACACTTAATACCATCAAAATTAGTTGATACTGATCAAAATATTATTAATAATGTAACATCTGAGAAATCAAATGTATTATCACAAATTAATTATGAATTAGAAAATGTCTCAGTAAATGACAATAGTTTCCTAATAAATCAATGTTCACCATCATCAATGATTGATTCATACACAGATTTGAACAAAAATTATTCATCATCTAATTCCATGTGTATTGAAAATAAATCAGAATGTCCAATTGATTTGTCCGTACATTCAAAGAATCAATTAGAAGATAAAGATAAAATGTAATTATTAAGTATAATTGTACACATATTTTCTTGGTCAAATTAAACTCTTCAATAGAAAATAGATTTGATAATTTTAATCGCTGAACTACTCACAGATTAAAGTTTCAGTAGAAAGCAATTTTAGCTTTTCAATTTTTTCAGAATAATGTTAGTGTAGACAATGCTGGACGGTGGGGAGATTTCATGGATTCATTGAAGTTTAACATTAACACTGTTGGGTGCCGGGTCAGTGGTTTGTATCCCGCGGGTGAGACCGTGGATGCACACTGCTGAGGAGTCCAACACTAAGACGAAACGGTGGTGATCTAGCCTCAATCGACTCGTGAATTCAAATGCAAAATTATACTGAACAGTTTGATAAGTTCTATCTTAAGACCAAATAAATTGTGTCAAACTGTTATGTAATAACAAAAGTATGAGAGTTAAATAATACTTCTGAATCATGGTACCTTTTTGTCTACAATAATAAATCTGATTGTGAAATTAGCTCAGTTTATTAATTAAATGAAAGGAACAAATAATGAAACATTATATGATTCAACATAAATATTATATAAAGTACAGACAATTAAGGACAATCCAGTTTGTTTCTCAGCGGTTCTCTAACTAATAATACTTCTCGACGAAGATGCTCCAATATTTCGATAAAAAAATAATCTAGAAGTGAACGTCAGTCTATTTATAGGATGTTAGCTTGTATTTCCAATATTTTCGTTAAAGAGTGAAGAGTATAAAAATTTCTCTTATGTTTCTATCCAAAACTGTTGGTCATAAAATAAGGAAATTAATGAGTAGGATACTTTATCATTTGTAAATATTTTGAAAGACAAAATAAATGAAATTGTAACTTCGGATTGTAATTAATTGTATATGATTTATTTTTTATTCTGGCGTTTTTCCGAAATTTAGACAGAATCGTACAAGATCACCTTTAAAGGCTGCTAATGTGTTTGAAATGAATGCATATAATTGATCATAATCCTCATGAATACGTTTTTCTACTCGTTTTGTACTTTGGGAGTCCGTCTTACAACCAGTTGTTCATGTTTCTTTCTATGTGGTCAATAAAAGTTTATGAGATGCAACTAAATAATATACTCGCACACTAATGAATTACATCATTATACACATTTACCATTGCATTTGTACATTTTAGTGGCTTCCTCTTTAGTTTAAATAACTAGTTAATTAAAGTAAATATGTGACTTAAAGCAAAGTAAATAATTGTGGGTAGTTGACTGATGTTACATTGAAATGACTCAGTCCCTTTTGATTATACAACTTTCTTCCAAGTATTGGTAACTAAATTGTGTTTATTTAAAATAATTAACAAATCCATGTATTTATTTATCATTTATCCGTTTTTCTTCAGTCTCAATACTTGTGATAGTGTGCCAACGAACAAAGTAATTGGTCGATCATTTGAAATCGGTAATCTATGCCCAGAATTACATGAATATAAAAAAGAAGTAAAAAATTTGTCTTCAACTATGAAAATAATGAATTCAAACAACACTAATATCTTAGCCACTTCTCATCCCACTACTATTAACAGTTTTGCAGATATGCATAATTCAAAAAATTTAATGAGTATATCATTATCTCTAAACTCCAATAGTTTTCTAGATGAAACTGTCTCATCAGTTGACGTCTATTCAAATAAGAAACATATTTATGCAAACAAAAAGCATTCTACTAACATGGGATGTATAAATCTATTACAAGGAAGGTCAGATTTCGAAGCAGCAAACGTTCTTTTTGCATTCAACTAGGAATTTATGAGAGATATGCACGAAACCAAAAGATTTTCAGTTCCAATAATAACTAAATGAAGGTAACGGAAATCACAGTACTTTTTATAAAATTACCATATTTTACATGTATATTTTTAGCATTAGATCTATAGGAAATCAGATATAATGTACACAGTTACTGAGTTATTTGACTTTATGGACATATAGTAAATGTAAAAATAAGACATTATTGATATTATTACTTAGCCTATTCTTCCAGTTAGTTAATGATGAATAATTTGTTACTGGGAGCGTACATTCATTGTGCTAATCATTTTCACTGCATATTTCATAAGTAAAATTACATTTCTGTTCGTGTTTCAGATATATGATTCCTGGGAAATAAAAAAACATTACTCCTACCAGCCACTCCTAGAATTGCTTGAAGGGATACTAAAAACTGGTAGCCTACAAATAAATCTCTCAGATTACCATAATACACTTCGGATTTTCTCGTATCTGGTTAAAATACATTTTATTAGTGTAAGATCTCTCATTAGTGATGAATTAATTCCTAGAATTAGAAGCTAATAAAACTACTGTCTTATTATTAAGTGATGTGTCGATTAAAGACTTGGCTTTTATCCTTATGAAAAAACAGGCACTTATGGTTAATTCCTGATTAGTTCAAGCACTATTCGTTTGTTTTAATTAATTTCTCCATATCTTGGGTTTTTTTTTTCTGGAAGTAATAAGAAGTTGAATATTAACCTTCTCAATTTAATGAATGGAACCTAGCCTTTAATCCCTTCATACTAGATAATGAACGATTTATTTTTTTGCTTTTCAGTCGTATATACTCATCCTGCATTTAATGAATGCCTGCTGTAATCTGATCCTTCGTTACTTCAACTGACAACTCAATTTGGGACTAGTCCTATTCGCTTAAATAAATTATTTTCGTCTACAATTTATACTACTAACAACGTTTATCAACAGTAAAGTACTGAAATGAAAATTCTGAAGATAGTATTCTTAGTTTCAAATTAATTTGGAATATCTGTGTTAGAATAGTTTCGTTATTTTTAATTATTGTGTTGTACAGTCATTTAACTATTTAACTTATTTATTAAATTTTTAAAGGTATAAATATTTTTGATCTTCACTTTCTGTGTTACTTCCTTGGTGGAAACTATAAAATGACAGAAATATTTTAAATTGGATTGAATAAAACTTAAACAGTCGATTTGATCACGATGACACTTTTGTGAATTTATATTTAATTATATAAACTTTTCAGTAATTATTCATTTTAATTTATTATTGTGATTCACTTTAATCTATTGTAGGATTACGTCAGACTTGCTTCCTAGTTCGAAAAAAGAGGTTAACTGAATTTTATAATTCATAAGTTAAGGTTATGAGTGAAAAAAGGATGAGAATTTCGATGTCCACTTATTTTCACAACTTAAGTTAATGATTGAAAATATAGTGTTTTATCGTGTGCGTGTGTGCGTGCTCTATTTAATATATGAATGTGCCGATTCCCGTCAATGAGAGAGGAGTGAATTTATTGATCGCCCAATGATACATAAAATCGTATGAGCAGTCTTGAGTACTTATCAGTCCTGCTATCTGCCTAACCTAGTCAGTTAAGTCTAGGACATCAATAACAGTCTCTGCAATATGAATCACTATTCTCAAACATACTGAGTTTATATACCAAATAAACTGATCACATCGTAACATAAAATAGAAAATAACATTTTTACAAGGTTTGGCCAAATGTGGCTGTGAATAGGGGGAACGGTTATTAATGGACTAGGGATAACTCAAGAATGATAAATTGTATAATAATAGTCTATAGGTCAAAATAAAGCTTATGATAAGAGAAACACGAATACAAATAGTTTAGTTACTTAACAATTATAAAATAGGAAATATATATATCATATCGGTTCCTAAATAATTCTCAAGGTTACCATTCATAAATCTCCACGGGATATAACATATAGTTCCCATACCTCACTTTCAAACTTACTCATTATATTACAGAAGATCATCAACTTTCATTATATTTCTTGTACTAAGGTATTATTCATGGGAAATGTGAAAATTCTCTGAAATTACATAAGTAAAGTTATTTACGGAAAACCGATGCCTAAATTTTCAACAGCACTATAAGTCCGGCATTAACTTAGATCACGTACATGTATTCATACTATTTATATGGAGATAATTGTTTGTGAAATAATGAGGAAAATGTGTAGTGCTAAAAGGCACGGTGGGTGATAGGTTTTTGAGTCTAAACGATTAAACTGATGAGCCTTCATTCTGAATATGCTGTTGAACTCTAATTAAGAAAGTTTGTTAAAAGATCTCTGGTGAGTTAGTCAAATTTTCCTTTCAGGTAAAATAGTGTGTTAATTTTGGCTACTATAGAGCATATAACCATATATTAGAACCTGAAAACAAGTTAAATACCCTTATTAAACATGAAAATGTCTCTTTTCTCAAATTTTGTTATTATTGACAAGTATCAGAATTAAGTATTCTTATTTGAATGTAGTGCTAATACAATCCCCAAGAATTAGACCTGCCTTTCAGGACTTAAATTGTTTGGATAGCAAGTGACCTACAAGCTTATTTCCTCTAGGGGCTTATGACATTATATCGTTCATTTTGTGTTACATTTTGTAAATAAGCATGTCATTTTATTAGACTAAAACAAACTATTCATCTGACTAATGCATTTGTTCTTGATTTTAAAATGATTGGGCTCTCGCATCAATAAAGTAGTCTCGTGAATAGCCACTACTTAATAACACTACACAGTTGGTTATGTTTGCTCATTTCCAAGTCCAAATATTTGACAGACACTTTCATCCAACCATGTTTTCAAAATATCTTATTTTTCATGATCCATTAGTGACCACAGTAACCCTAAATCCTTTTTATCTTCCGAATTGTATGTTAAATACTGTAATTTGTTCTAGACCGTGTGAATCTCATAGTCAACAATCTGATTAATTTAACATATTTATCTATGTTAAATTCGTAGTATACCTCAATACATTCACTTTTAGTCAACGGCAATTATATATCAATATTTTAATTGGTAATTGTACTTTACATAGCCACTGTACTATTCCAATTTGAATGCGTTAAGAATTTGAAATCTTACTAAATGCTTCAGTAGTCTCGACTGATTACACTCCAATTTGATTGTATGATAATTGCAATCGAAACGTACATACCACTATCAACTCAAATCCTGTTAGTGAATAACGGAATGGGTTTTGAATACGTATGTTTCCTACAATCATTGATCCAGACAGAGATTAATAATAAGAGGTAGAAAAGAGAAGAGTAAGAAGCGAAGCGAAATAAAGTGACGCTCAGTGGAGAAGGCATGTGAGCCAAAACCAATTGATAAAGCTTTACTTTCTATTTACATTCAGACAAAAATAAACTACAGACATGCGATGAACAGGATAAGCAAGTAACACACACAAACATATAAAAACAGTCAAGGTTAATAAGCGAATAAGTGACAAGGTCACAATGTGGCTTGAGAAGAATGAATAAATTGGTTTGTCCAGAAGCCAGAATAGCCTATGTGGGATTGATATAGGACCAGCCACTACAATACAATTTATTCAACTTTCTTATTCAGTACATTTATCAGTGTACACTTAACCGATCATTATTAAGTGAAAGTCCATGTAAATGAATAAAAATTTGAATTAATACTTTCGTTTATGATTTTTAATGATGAAACGAACAATTAATCAAATGGAGTATTTTTGCGTGTACTTTGTGACTACTTACAAGTAAGTAAATAAATCGTTCAAAATATTACCGTGTTGTTAATATCTGAATTCCACAATTTGTTTCACCACAGTAACTAAGTTGTTTCTTGGTACATGATATTGTGAAAGAATATTTCCAACAGCTTGCCTAATTCGTATTGATACAAAAAATAAGAATTTTGACGTCATATTATTATTATTATTTACAAATTGTTAATAAAGTTATTTTAATGCCTGTATAATTAAAAAAATCATACATAATAGTTCTTTGAAAAATGGAACTAATTCACTATTACCAGTAAGTATCAAAGCAAGAGAACATCATTTCGCATAGCTTCTGAAGAGAAATTTTAATGTAAATGTTCAATTGCAATGTAACCGAACACGGATAATTACATTACTGTGATACAGCTAATACAAAATGACTAATATAGATTTAAGATTAAGGTGAATGTCATAAACTTAACCGACCATTGAATACCCGGAAGTTTCTGACGACCTTTTCGTTTTGGTATGTGGCTCCTCAGGTTTTTAATGGTGATCTCACCCAGATCGATTTAAGTCATAAGCTTCGTAAGCAAAGATGGATTGTGGTTAGTAGTGGAATCCAGAACGCGCGTTTCGTTCCATTCGGGACTCAACAGCAATCCACACAGAATGCACATATGCCGACAAGAGACTGATCAACTACAGTCCTAAACATCAACGGGACGATACAAACAAACAATACTAAGCGAATTTAAACTTCACTCGACCACACAAGCCAGTGGCTATGAGTACTCAATAGCTAAGTAGATAATGCGATGGCGTTCAAAGCGAACGGTACTGGGTTCGAGTCCCAGAGTGAACATCAACTCTGAGATGCAGGTACATCCAGCCGACAACTCCCAAATAGGATGAAACGCGTGTCCTAGATTCCACTGCTAGCCACCATTCATCTTTGCTTTTTATTTATTATTTAGATCAATAAAGTCACTATACAACAAAGATAACTGATCATTCATAGAACTATTTTGACTGGAATCAATTTATACAACATCCATCTCCTTCATATAATGACTATAACTTTTGTTATTCTTCCAATAACCTATATGAAAACTAAATTAATCAGATAAAATCTAGTAAATAATTTCATATTACTTCCCCTAAATAATCTTAAATTAATGTCTGAAGTTTAGTTAATTTTGATAATTATAGTACTATCACCATTGCGTGATTTATGATCAACCATTTTTTAATTTTTTTTTAAAATAAAGATTTTCGATTTAGTAAAAATCTGGAAAATCAAATAACATAAACACATATAGTCAATTTTTTCTTAAAAATAATAATTAAATCATATAGTCTATCAAAAAAAATTTTGTAACCATTCGCTGTCAATCTGCTTTACATACCATGACATCTAAAAAGAAAAAAATTTGGAATAACAAAGTTTAATTTTTTTTAATATTTTTTTGTATACTTGAGAAATGAAAATGGTTAGACTCTTTTGATGAATGTCAAATTTTGAAATTCATTGAAATGATTATGTAAGAAATGTAAGGAAGAGATAAAGAGTTCGTTGATTATAATAGATTTTTAATGTTTGATTCTTATCTTATAGTTGATTACAATATGAAATATAAGCAACTATGCAGGCATGTTCGGGATGCGATTCTCTCCCTCGAAGTGCAAAATGTTACTTCAGGATTGGGTTGCATCGACACCTGAACTAATGATAGGGAGTGTGGTAGTTGAGCGTGTTGACAGCTTCACTTATCTTGGGAGTCTCATCAGCCCTTGTGGTCTGATGTGTGACGAAATCTCAGCACAGATACAGAAGGATCGTCTAGCTTTCACCAACTTCCGTCAATATTATACGAACTTTATTTGGCGGACTACACTACAAAGTGGTGAATGGAGGGAACCTAGCAGATGCATTCCAAGTGAGGACTAAAGTCAGACAAGGATGCCTACTCTCACCCTTTCTCCTTCTTTTGATGGTTGACTGGATTATGAAGACCTCGATATCTGAGGGAAAGGATAGAATAAAATGGACAGGTTGGATGGAGCTAGACGATTTGGATTTTGTGGATGACCTATCTCTGCTTTCCCATACTCACAAACAAATGCAGGCGAAGACAACTAATGTAGCAGCGGTCTCTACATCAATTGACCTCATTATACACGAGGGAAAATCCTAGATCCTCAAATGCAGCACGGAGAACACTAACGCATTCACACTTGATGGAGAAGCTCTGGAACAGAGGGAATCTTTCACGTACCTTGTCAGCATCATCAATGAAAAGGGGGGATCCGATGCAGATGTAAAGGCAAGGATTAGCAAAACAAGAGCAGAATCGCTACAATTTAAGGATATATAGAACTCATAACAACTGTCAACCAACATCGAAGTGAAAATCTTCAATACGAACGTCAAGACAGTTCTACTGTATGGAGCTAAAACTTCAAGAACTAATTCAACCATCATCAGAAAG